AGCCATATCTGGAGTTCTAAAACTCCTCTTTGAGTGATTCCAGCGCCATTGGAAAGCTAACATCCAGGGCTACAACTTTCATGAAGACTACAAGGTCTAATTCTGAAAGTACAAAGGCGCTCAGCGCCTCCAAAGCGCTCAGCGCTTTGCCTCCAGAAATTCTCCTCTAGCTCTCTGCCCCCAATGCGCTCAGCGCTTTAAATCCGCTCAGCGGTTCGGTTCCAGGGAGCTCTCTGCCCCCAAAGCGCTCAGCGCCTTAAAACCGCTCAGCGGTTTGGTTCCAGAAACCCTCCCCTGTCACGAAACTCCCAAGGGGCTCAGCCGTTCAAAACGGCTCAGCCGTTAGTGACAGCAACCACAAACCCTCCGCCATTTTTGAACAACAAATCCTGCAAAAACAAGAAATCCAAGCACATGCAATCCACCCACAACACCCAATTTTCATCCAACAACCCAAAAATCAATTCTTTCTCAACATGCAACCATAAAACAACCAAGAGACCCAAGATTTCTCAAAACCCACTACAACCCCAATTTTTCCCAATCTCAACGATTCAACAACAATCATCAAACATCCACCAATTTCAACAGTTAAAGAGCTTTCAACACTCATTCACAACCAAAAATCAATCATGAAAACTAACTTCCCTTACCTCGGTGAAGAATCCAAGCTCCGGGAAGAAGACAATGGAGAAGGAGAAGAAATGGAGAAGGAATTCGGCTTCCAGCTAGCTCCACACGGCTTGCGTTCGAGAATCTCCGTCTCTAGGAGTCCACAACTTCAACAATGGAGAAAAAGAGGGAGTTGAGAAAATGGGAGAGTGAAGAGAATGAGTGAGAAAAAGTGAAGGAGGAAAAATGGGAGAAAGGGGGTCTCACAATTTATGTATAATAAACATTTAGAACGTGAAGTACATATACTAAAATATTCGTTAATTAATTTTGACACAACATTCAATTTTATTGATATTTTTATTGTTCATTGAATAAGTAAATGGTAAGTTCCATTATTTTTATTTATTTTTCTATTTCCATTGTGTCACTAACAAAATATATATAAATAAATATAATGTTAATAACTTAATAGATTATATTAAACATATAGTTTTATAATATTGAGCGTGTAAAACGACAAACTAGAAATTGTTACTACTTGAGTTACATAACTAGCAGTATTAGGTTTGAGTTGTGAGATTGTCTACAACAGATGATACATGTATAAATGTTTATACTGACTTTATTTGATTTAGAGTAAGATTGTCTTAGTAAAAGATATATCATATATGTAATCTTAAATAAATAATGTACTGTCCGTATTGCGAAGTCGAGCTCCGAGTCGGGCACGCGCTACGCGATGTCAGCTCGGCATTTAAGCAGATCATAACCGATCTCGAGGGATCTCGCTTTGGACGAGATCCACTATCTAATCTTATCATATCTTATCTCAGGCCCAAGGCCCAAAGCAACCCTAAATCACACCAAGGTACGTGCATTACTAATACAAGATTCATACTCATACAAACCCTAACTTTAGCATCGGAGTCTCTTTTGCAGGTACCACCCCCATCTTGGAACACAAGCGTACCAGCGAAGGAGGCTCATTGATCTTACCTGGCGGATCAGCTCTACAGCAGATTTCTGGTAAGAACATTTGGCGCCCACCGTGGGGCCGAGCAAGATAGCTCTTATCGGCTATGGTTTTCACCAGAAGCCATAGTAGACGCACAAC